AGCCGTGGATGACTGATGGAGAGGGAGACAACAGCCGGGGCTCAGCGCGTGCTCACGGGCAGGGCAGGTGCCCTGTGTGTGAGTTCTCACTTAACCCACACAGCACTGGGGGTGAATCCTGTCCCACACCATTGCGGAGATGAGAGTTGACCGTTACGGAGGTGAGGTGCTTGCCCGCGGTCTCCAGCTAGGCGTGGAGCAGGAACCCGGCTCCGCCCTGACCCTAGCCCCTGAGCCCGTGACCTCACACGTTGTCAGTCACCGCCATCCGTCCCCGGTGCAGCTGCTTCCTGCGCCCTTTGCCTTGCTCAGAGCCGTTTCAGGTGACAGAGTTCGGCCAGGGCTGTAACGACCCCGGAACTTCTCTACCTGAGCCCAGACTGCGTTAACGCAGAGCAGGGCCAGCGGAGCTGCTGCGTCGGTGCCCCCTCTCCCGTGTTCTTTATGGCTCCTCGCAGACGTGCCCTGAGCACGCGCAGCTTTACTTGTCCCACTCTGGACTTCCTGCCTGAGCCATGCTGATCTTAGGTCTCTTCATTTCTGTCCATTCTTTCAAGACAAATGAAACCTTCTAAAATGGCGTGGTCTGCGGTGCTGGCTGATCTGCTTGTTTTGGGGGCTGTGTAGTGTTCCGTGTTTGCAGGAGGCCCCAGGACGAGTGCAGGCTTTAGAATCTGACATCCAGGGGCTAATTTTGTAAGTCTCCGCTGGAGTAACTCTGGGTGCAGCAGACGGGTCCCTTGATGACAGTGACTTAACACGACAGAAGCTCATCAGCTCCCCATCAGAGTCTCCTGCGGCTCCCTGGTCTGCACATGCCCGGGGCGGGCCCGGGAACTCAGGCTGAGCAAGGCGGGCGTGAGCAGTGGGGTGGACAGTGAGGGTGGTGAGTGTGGTCAGGAAGCGGCGGTGCCAGTCGCTGCTGTTCTGTGGGAGTGAGTGCCTAGCCTCCTAGCAGGAGCTCTGCCTGCTGGAGGGGGCAGAAGGCTCTTTGCTTGGCATCTGGGTGGTCGTTGCCTTGGTGCCAGCTGACCACCTGATACAGGCAGATTTCTTGCTGGTGTGTGCTGCTGTTTTTCTGATGTTGGCTTCTCTGAAATGTGGTTCCAGCTTCTAGATGGCGTGTCGAAATTTCCCTGGCTGTGTTCTTTCTTCCTGGTACCTAACATTGTGGCTGTGATGTAGTCAGTCCATTGCAGTGCCCGTCAAACAGCACTTGTGGCTGTCTTGTAAATTTTCAGCTCACGTTCAGTGGTAGACGTTACTTAGGTTCCTTCTCTTTTTTACTTAAGGGTTTCTGTAAAAATGCCCTGGTGTGCCAAACTGGGGCCCTCCACGTGTTATGGGATCTTGTCATACAGCAGCTGGGAGTCGCGTCCTGCACAGTCCCAGCCACCGCTGTCCGGTGTCCATTAGGCAGCTGTGTGGGGCTGGCTTGAGCACCGGCTGAGATGGGTCAAGCGGACCTGATCACTAACGGGTAGAGGCAGCGGCTCTGGTTGCGGACGAGAGCTCAGCGGCCTGGCGTGGAGCCCGCAGCTGCTTCCATCACTCGTGAGTTCTGCATTTCCCCCAGACAGAGACGTAGCTGCCAGGGTAGCTCTCCTGATCCGGAGAGAAGAAACTCGCCATCCATTCTGGCAGTCCCTGAGCTTGTGGACTGACCCACCTTGAGGAGGTGCTTAGAAGCTGTGCTTTCGCGTGTTTGCAGTCTCTGTTTGTGATGTACGCCGTGATTAATGTGAGCGCTGCCAGACATCCAAAGGTCGGCTTCAGGTTCACGTTTCTGTTGATTGGAGAAACTTCTGCAGGTTCCATATACTGCTCCTCAGGCTGCACTGGAACAGCGCTAATTAGGACAATACCAAGACCAGAAATGTCATAGTCCTGTTTTCCTTGAAAGAGAAAAATGTGTTTGTGAATGCAGTTGATTTCATAAAGCAGCCCCACAGCTGGCTTTGCCAGGGGTCACTTCTTCCTGCCAGAGAAAGGAGTGATGGAGCCACAGACACCAGACATATGAGCAGAGGGCTGAAGCCTTGCGTCTTAGGGCTGTGGTGCAGTGCAGTGGGCTAAGCTGCTCCTTATGGCATCAGTGTCCCGTATCAGAGCCCCAGTTCCAGACCCGGCTGCTCCACTTCCAATCCAGCCCCCTGCTGATGCACTGGGGAAAGCAGCAGCACGTGGCCCAAGTGCTTGGGCCCCTGCACCCATGTGGTAGGAGACCAGGATGGAGTTCCTGGCTCCTGGCTTCAGCTTAGCTCAGCCCAGCCCTGAGTGTTATAGCCATTTGGGGAGTTGTCTGTCTCTCCCTCTATCATTCTGCTTTCCCAATAAATACAAACAAATGTTAGAAAATGAGAAGCATGATCTCCTCATGAGCAAACCACGAGACTTTTCTCACCCAGCCTCCAGCTAGCCGGCAGCTCCGTCCCCTTACATTAGTGAAAACACCGCGAAGTTCAGCGCCTTCCTCTGAGAGGCGTGAGCCGTTCCCAGTGAGATTGTCACCAGGAGGGGCTGAGTTATTAGTGCACCCATGTTTCCCTAGCCTGTACACTGCTTGGCATGGGATCAGTGTTTTTTTATCCCAAGTCCCAGAAAACCAACCTCAAAATGGCTTAAAGGGCAAAAGGAAATAATTATTTTCTCATTTAAGAAGCCCTCTGGGGAGGCAGCCATTTCTGGCTAGATCATTTTCTGGCTAATGAGGCCATTCCATCCTCCTGCCCCAGGGGCCACCACAGGTCTGCAACTCCAGGTGCCCAGGGCCGGGCAGGTCCTGCTCAGGGCCCTTGTGTAGGCCAAGAGGAGTCCTGTGGGAGGGAGGGCCCTAACTGGACGCACGCGCCACCTCCGTCCTTCTTCCCTGTCTGAGAGCCCTTCCCGTCTGTTCTCTTGGGCGTTCACTGGTGTCGCGTGTTGTTATTAACTGCACTGCACACACTGGCACACGGTAGGCCTTGCCAGCACTCGCCTGTGACCAGCTGGAGTGGACTTTGCTGTACGGGGAGAGCTCAGGGCCTGCACTGTGCTGCCAGTGGACGTCCAGTGTCCCCAGCGCTGGGACTCGCAGAGACGTTCCTTTGCGCAGTGCATGTTCTTATACTTACTGGAGAATCAGTTGAGTGTACAGATGAGGATTTATTTCTGGGTCCTCTTCCGCTGGCCTGTGTGTCTGTGTTTATTCCAGTACCATGCTGTTTTGGTTACGACAGCATTGTATGTTTTGAAGTCAGGCACTGGAACGCCCATATTGAAGGGTCTTTTGTGGTTCCATACAAATTTGATAGGTTTCTTTTTCTGTTTCTGTGGTAGATATTGCATTGTGATAGAAATTGCATTGAATCCAAACATCATTTTGGATAGCATGGACATTGTCACAGAATTCTTCGAATCCATGACCTTGGGATGTCTTTTCATCATTTTGGGTCATTTTCAGTTTATTTGGTGTTCTGTCATTTTCATCGCAGATCGTTCAGCTCCTTGGTTAAATCTGCTTCTGGGGATCTGCCTTTTTGTAGCTTTTGTGAATGGGACTGGACTGCTTTCTTTAGTTCCTTAGCAGCAGTTTTCTTGCTGGTCTATGTAAGAAAAAACGACTGACTTCTACATGTTGATCTTGTGTCCTGAAACCTTACTGAATTCATTTAGCAGTTTGATGGAGTCTTTAGGTTTTTCTCTCTGTGGAATCATGTCCGCTGCACACAGGGAGAACTTATCTCCTTTGCTATGTGGCTCCTCCTCGTTTCTTTCCTTGCTTCATTATTCTGGCTAATGAGAGGATATTATCAGTAACATTCAATTTCAACACAGTGAAAAACAATACTGGGTTTTCAACATAAATACCATGTCTTCTGGAGAGAACTCACAAAGAGGAAGGCATGATTGAATAAACTAAAAATCCACTTGGTTTATCCAAGTTAAAGAAACAAACCAGTGTTGGAATGGAGGGGAGGGAGATTATAAGAAATTCAAAATGTAGAGGATTTCCTTAGAGTGAGGTATTGCCACAGGCAGTCCAAGTGTTGGAAACATGAGGCTTCTGTTAGTAAGAGTTTATGGTAACCAGAGCATGGGGCTCAGGTTAGGATGGGTTCGTAAGAGGTTATGGTAACCATTCTTTGAGGCTCAGGTTAGGGTGATTGGTAATAGGTTATGGTAGCCAGTCCTTGAGGCTCCTGTTAGGATGGGTTCGTAAGAGGTTATGGTAACCAGTCTTGGAGGTTCAGGTTAGGGTGAGTTGGTAGGAGGTTATGGTAGTCATAGCTTAAGGTTCAGGTTAGGATGGGTTAGTAAGGGGTTAGGGTAACCCAAGCTTGAGGCTCAGGTTAGGGTGGGTTAGTTAGAAATTATGGTGACCTGTCCTTGAGGCTCCTGGCTCCTGTTAGGATGGGTTAGTAAGAGTTTATGGTGACCAGTGCTGGGTGGCCTAATTTCCCAGATAACTTTTGGTAGGGTTCCATCTTGTTGAGGAAGTAAAATCAGGACTTGCTGTACTGCCCTAATATTGTAGACTGACATAGGGAGCTTTGCTTTAGTTTGTATCTTTTTTCCTCCTTTATACCCTACTTGCTTGTACTGAGATTGCTGGTTAAGAGGAACACATTAAATCAGGTCACAGTTTGACGTTACAGCTCTGGGTGTGTTGCTGCTGTACGCGTGTTTGGTTCCACTTGCACTCAGCACAAGAGCATTGCGCAGCTCCTGCTTCCTATTTTCAAGATGGGAAATGTCCTGGGGCTTAGACCTTGAAGACAGAGAGGACAGCGCATTCCTGCAAAGCAAATCTGCTGATTCCATTTCGCCTCACGCAGGGCCTTAGCAGCACATGCATAGAGCAGAGGTGGGAAGAAAAGAGTGTTTGCCGACGGCTGCTGGGAGGTCTGGCCTTCAGCTGGAACGGAGAGGCGGCTGTTTGCCCTGGTACTGAAAAGCTCGCTGGTGTGTCTCCTGTTTAAAGATTGTCTGTAAAAGGGTATAGGGTCACCTACAGTCAGCTTTGGAAAACGCTGATTTGGAACAGGCCTGGAGGGGATGAATGATCACAGAAGAGGAGCTGCTGACGTGCACCTGTATCTGTATACACCCGTACGAGTGCACCTAAATCTGTACCTGCATACCTGTGCACCTGCACCTGTGTGTTCATGCACCTGTACCTGCAATACCTGTGCACCTACACCTGTGTGTTCATGCACCTGTACCTGTATACCTGTGCACCTGCACCTGTGTGTTCATGCACCTGTACCTGCAATACCTGTGCACCTGCACCTGTGTGTTCATGCACCTGTACCTGCATACCTGTGCACCTGCGCCTGTGTGTTCATGCACCTGTACCTGCAATACCTGTGCACCTGTACCTGTGTGTTCATGCACCTGTACCTGTATACCTGTGCACCTGCACCTGTGTGTTCATGCACCTGTACCTGTATACCTGTGCACCTGCACCTGTGTGTTCATGCACCTGTACCTGTACACCTGTGCACCTGTACCTGTGTGTTCATGCACCTGTACCTGTATACCTGTGCACCTGCACCTGTGTGTTCATGCACCTGTACCTGTATACCTGTGCACCTGTACCTGTGTGTTCATGTACCCATACCTGCATGTGTGTGCACCCATACATAGGTGTGCATGCCTGGGTGCACAGAAAAGCCGTGTCCTAGAGAACACTGTGTCTGTGTCTTAACCTTGAGTGTCGTGAAGATTCTTCTGGGCTATTGTTAAAAATAGATCGTCTGGGCCCTTTCTGTCCCTGCTGACTCAGTACTTCCAGGACAGGAGCCCAGGAATCTTACGTTTTAAATAAACCGTCCAAGTCACTCTCATGAACAGATAAGGTTGGAAAACACTTCACTGAAATGCAGTATTTACTTTCATAGTGGGTTAGGGTTTTTTCCTTCTCTGAAGATTTCTGTTTTCCAAGTTATCACAGTGCACACTTATACTGCACAATTACTAAAATGTTGATTTGCCAAGTAGATTTGGAAGTGATTTAAGCTGAACCTTCACTCCTGTGCGTGTTTGAATGCTTGTCTGTTTCTGTCCTGCAGTGACCATACATCACCCACTTGAGTAAATCCCATTGTGTCAGTCCACTAGCATTGTTTTATCACGAACGTATGAATTTCAATTAAATTCTGAGTAAATAATTCGTGTTCTGCCAGCCAAACCTTCTGGAATATATGGTATGTGGCAGACAGTGTGTGGAGCAATTAGACAATAATGTTGGCCCGGATCGAGAACCTTTGACCCAGCTCTCATCTTCCTAGGCTTAGTGGAGATTGGCACATCTGAAATAGAGCGCAGCACGGCTGGCGCTCTGCCTCGCAGAGCTGTAAGCATGTCTGAGACTAATCCGGGAGGACCTCATGCGTCCCCTCTGGTTTGTCTTTCATCTTCACGGTATGTCCACTGATTCTGCTCAGGTGCGACAGCCTCCGCACGTGACCCTGAAACAGCCAGATGACGTAGAGAAAAGGCAATGCTGTGTCTGCAGGCAGCGTTAGCACTGTGCAGGTCACAGGTGCCTGCTGCAAAGCCAGGGAGGTGTGTCACCTGGGTCCTCAAGTGCTGTGGGCCAAAACGCTTCCGTAATCACGCCTGTCTGCCCTCCGGGGCTGCGACTGCTTTCTTCTTTATGTCCCCAGCAGCTTTAATAACCCCTACGAAGGGGCATAAAAGCACTCCAGGCTCTGGAGCATTGCCGGTGCAGGCTTTTCTTTGCGCCCCCGTGCCTCCCTCCGCCCGCAGGGATGGGATCTCACGCCCGTTCAGGGAGGTCTGCAGGCCGTGGGTGATGGCAGCCGCTCTGCCTTTCCTAGCATTCTGGGAGGTGAAGATGATGGTGCTGAGTTCCATGGGCATGAATCTGCTGCCCTGCAGGCAGGAGGCACAGTGCAGTTTAATTTATGACCAGGCTCATTCTTGGAGCCAGTGAGCTCAATCATTTGCCAAATGATTACAGATTACAGAAGGTGGCTTGCTTTCTGATCCATAAGGTTTTCCAACAAGGCACGCAGATAACTTCTAGTTAGAAATTGTGTGCCCTCAGATATGCATTTATTCAACAAATATTTATTGAGCAATGACTTTGTCAGCTAATATGCAATATTAATTATCTTTTGTTTAACATGAAGACAGCCTCTATCCTAATTTTTTAAATGTCAAGAACACTGTTGCTTATCCAAGTGTAAATTCTACCAGGAGTGAAGGTGGCAATTTCATATTAAAGAGACTTAAGCAACCTTTTCTAAAGTGAGCAGTCTTTTCCTGACAGGTGCCTGTTTGACAATTATAGCACGCACACTAATTTACTTTAGCTACCTGACAGACCAAGGAAACTGGTTTGATCAATTTTTAAAATATTCTACTGGTTCTTTGTGAATTGCCATGCCAAAGGAAAATAACAAGAACTGTCTCATTAAGGTAACACCAAGGTGATATATTCACATGGTTAAGCAAATAAAAATGTCCTATCCTTGATCCCACCGTTCAAGTATTTATAGCTGGTGTTGAAATAGAGGGCATTATAAACCAACTCCAAGGTCTACCAGTTATCCCCAGAGAAATCAGGTAAATATCTCAGGAGTCCTTTGTGCAGAAGTAGATCAGAACTTAAATGGGATAAATTAGTACAACCTTCCTGGAGGGCAGCGCAGCCATACATATGAAAGAACTGCAGATTGGATGCACTGCTTGATTTAACGGTTCTACTTCCCCGAGTTTCTCCTGAGGAAGTCGTCAGGAATGCACAGAGTGTTCTACACGGATGTCCATGGGAGGGAAGGAGGAGAAACAGCCTCAGTGTGCGCCAATACACTGCTTGCATAAATTACGGCCCACCTCTCTGGGAGACTGTGATCAAGCTCTTAACAGGAGGCTGAAAAGTATTTCCAGGGCTTTCTGCACCCGTGATGTCCACTGGTGCCTCGCTGCCACATCACGACCCCCGCCCTTAGCTCACTCAGAAATGGGCGGGAGAGAAAGGAGGGGGAGTGGGTCCAGAGCTTTCAGAGAGGGAGAAAGATGACGTCGCACACGCCTCAGGTGGCCGAGAAGCAGGCCAGGGGGCTGGATTGGCCGGGAGGTACGGAGGAGTCCAGAAAGGGCTTGGGGGTGGCTCTCGGCATTCTAGAACAGGGGCCAGCGGCGGTCCCCTGGAGGGCTGAGGATGCCTCAGGTGTAGGGTGTGCAGGCAGAGCAGGTTGGCACGCCAGTTTATTCAGATGTTTGGTGCTGAAAAGCAGAGGCCAGGTTCTGAGACCTGCAGGGTGGAAGCTGAGCGTGTTTGCAGGTGGGGAAGGGGGCTGTGACCGTAGCTTGGGGCTCACTTCCCTACGGGCCCCCCGCTTCATGCGCCACCCCGTCCCTGGGGTTGTGCCTAGGCGGGAGGCTGCTGTGTGCCCAGTGCACACAAAACCAAGGCCCTCCAGAGCGCCCCCCCAGGCTGTCCAGGAGCCTGCACACCGGTCCCCAGCTCTGAGTCCCCCGAGTGTGGGCTGCTCCCTAGCTTAGGCTGCACTTGGAGGAGGCGCCGTCTCTTCGTCAGGTCAGAACTGGTTGCGCGGTTTTTTTCTTTGGTAGTTTTTCTTTTGAGTTTGGTAAAATTAAAGGCCTCACAAATGTTCTCGTTGTTTTCACAGAGGAAGAGGCAAGCCTACGAGTCGAACCTCATCTGCCACGGCCTGGAGCTGGAAGCAACACGATCGGTGAGACCTGGAGCTAAGATTTTTTTTTTTTTTTTGAACAACAGTAGTGTACCAGGGATGCTGTAGCAGGTTAACCCAGCCAATAATCCAGCTCCCTGCTTGTGCACCTGGGAGGCAGCAGGTGACGGCCCAAGTGCTTGGACACCTGCCACCCCCAGGGGAGACCTGGACGGAGTTCCTGGCTCCTTGGTTCCAGCTGTCCCAGCGCTGGCTGTTGCAGCCATGTGAGGAGTGAACCAGTGGATGCAAGATGGATCAGCCTGGTGTCTCTCCCTCCATCTCTGACACTCTTCCTTTCATATAAACATTTTTTTAAAAAGGAGCAGTGTAAGATAAAGATTACTATAATTATGTCACAGTTTTATATGCTTTTTCCTTTATGTAAATGTATTTCTGTATCAATAAATATCATTTTTGGCATTTTTAAAAAAATTTATTTGACAAGTAGAGTTATAGACACAGAGAGACAGAGAGAAAGGTCTTCCTTCCATTGGCTCACTCTCCAAATGGCCACTACGGCCGGCGCTGCACTGATCTGAAGCCAGGAGCCAGGTGCTTCCTCCTGGTCTCCCATGCAAGTACAGGACCCAAGCACTTGGGCCATCCTTCACGGCCCTTCCAGGCTACCGCAGAGAGCTGGACTGGAAGAGGAGCAACCGGGACTAGAACCCGGCACTCATATGGGATGCCGGCGCCGCAGGTGGAGGATTAACCAAGTGAGCCAGGTGCTGGCCCCCATTTTGGCATTTTTAATAGTTCCATAACATAATGAGCCTGATGTTGAATGAATTAAATAATATAATTTTAGATTAAATTTTCATTATTCTAGCACTGCGATGAATATTCTGGTGTTTCATGTTAAGTGACTGATTAGGATGGAGTGATGGATAAATTAGTGAAGGTTTTCTTTATTTAAAATGCCAATTTTATGAAAAAACTGTGATGATAATTTGAATTTCTTGGAAATCAAACCAAGAAATAAGGCAAAAATGTAGGATGATGTTTTGCAAATCTGTTTTTATTCACATCTTCAGTCCTAATGATATAGGTGTGTGTGTGTCCCCGTGTGTGTTATGTGTGTTATGTGTGCATGTGGGTGCACATGCATGTACGTGTACATGTATACATCTGTGTGCTTGAACTACCAGCAGATGTAGACTGTGCGGCTCCTTGACCGGTTTCCTGGTATGTGTGCGTGCCATGTTCTGCACGTTCTGGACGACAAGCTTGTGTGTGTGTGTGTCCATGTATACACATATGTGTGTCTGTGCATGCATGCGTGTGTGTGAAGTACCAGCAGACTAGACTGTATGGATCCTGGACCGATCTCCTGGTGTGCCTGCAGGTTCTGGACGACAAGCTTGTGTGTGTGTGTGTGTCCATGTATACACATGTGTGTCTGTGCATGCATGCGTGTGTGTGAAGTACCAGCAGACTAGACTGTATGGATCCTGGACCGATCTCCCGGTGTGCCTGCAGGTTCTGGACGACAAGCTTGTGTGTGTGTGTGTGTGTGTGTCCATGTATACACATATGTGCGTCTGTGCATGCATGCATGCGTGTGTGTGAAGTACCAGCAGATGAGACTGTATGGATCCTGGACCGATCTCCTGGTGTGCCCTGCAGGTTCTGGATGATAAGCTTTGTGTGTGTGTGTGTGTGTGTGTCCATGTATACACATATGTGCATCTGTGCATGCATGCATGTGTGTGTGTGAAGTACCAGCAGACGAGACTCTATGGATCCTGGACCGATCTCCTGGTGTGCCTGCAGGTTCTGGACGACAAGCTTGTGTGTGTGTCCATGTATACACATATGTGCGTCTGTGCATGCATGCGTGTGTGTGAAGTACCAGCAGACTAGACTGTATGGATCCTGGACCGATCT